CTTTTAACCAGTTCTCAATCCATGAAAGGATCTTCCCTCTTATCCCATGACAACTTAATTTACATAAGAGCCTTTGGTGAGGGACCTTGTCAAAGGCTTTCTGGAAATCTAAATACACTATGTCCTCTGGATCCCCCTTGTCCACATATTTGTTGACCCCCCTTCAAAGAACTCTAATAGATTAGTAAGACATGATTTCCCTTTACAGAAACCATGTTGACTTTTGCCCAACAAGTTACATTCTTCTATGTGTCTGACAATTTTATTCTTTGTTTCAACTAATTTGCCCGGTACTGATGTTGGACTTACCGGTCTGTAACTGCCGGGATCACACACAAGCTTCTAAATAATTTAGTTATGTTGTCATTGTTTCTGCATCTCCACACTGGGATGTCATAGTAGCTAGGAGAAGTACTTGTGGCACCTTAGAGAATAACAAGTTTATTTGAGCATAAGCTTTCGTGGGCTAAAACCCATTTAATTGGATGCATGCAGTGGAAAATACAGTAGGACGATATATATACACAGAGAACATGAAAAAATGGGTGTTGCCATACCACCTGTAATGAGAGTAATTAATTAAGGTGAGCTATTAGGTGAGCTGTTATCAGCAGGAGGGAAAAAAAACTTTTATAGATTCATAGATTCTAGGACTGGAAGGGACCTCGAGAGGTCATCGAGTCCAGTCCCCTGCCCGCATGGCAGGACCAAATACGGTCTAGACCATCCCTGATAGACATTTATCTAACCTACTCTTAAATATCTCCAGAGATGGAGATTCCACAACCTCCCTAGGCAATTTATTCCAGTGTTTAACCACCCTGACAGTTAGGAACGTTTTCCTAATGTCCAACCTAGACCTCCCTTGCTGCAGTTTAAGCCCATTGCTTCTCCAAACTTGTTCTATCCTTAGAGGCTAAGGTGAACAAGCTTTCTCCCTCCTCCTTATGACACCCTTTTAGATAGCAGTCTTCAGGTATCATGTCCCCTCTCATTCTTCTC